AGAGACTGCAGGTAAGAGTCTCTTATCTAGAATCTCTAGAATCAGTAATTTCTGAATTCAGTCATTGGATTGTTTTCAGGTGTGACCTTCCTGCTTTAACATCCTGCTCATGTCGTCTTCAGGTCATCAGTCCGTTCGGCTGGAGGGACATGAGGATCAGTGTGCCGGGCGGGTGGAGGTATGGAAGGACGGGAACTGGGGCACGGTGTGTGACGACAGATGGGACCTGAGAGAAGCCAAGGTGGTTTGCGCCCAGCTGGGCTGTGGGACCGCTCTCAGGGTGACGGGTCAGAATGGATTGTTCCCTCCAGGGAGCGGACCGATTCACCTAGACGAGCTGAACTGCACTGGGAACGAGCAGAACCTGTGGTTCTGTCCGGGTGTCCAGGAAAACTCCGACTGCGGACACAAAGAGGACGCTGGTGTGGTGTGTTCAGGTCAGTCTCCATCAAACATCTGGTCTGTTGGACATGAACTGTCCAAGCTGACGTCTGTCTCTGCCAGTGTCCACATTTGGACACAAACTCATCTTGAGGATGCGGTGATGAGGCTTATTTGGAGGAGCTGCAATCATTTGAAATGTTTTTCACACAAAAAGGAATGAAAACTAAAGATACACAAATATCAAAATGGCTCAAAGTTAAATTCCCATCTGATTCCACTTCCATTCCCTCAACCATCCTACTATCCATCAAACCATCCTACCATCAAACCAACCAACCTTCTGACCATCCAACCATAAATTCATCCTACCATCAAACCAACCAAACTTCTAACCATCCAACCATAAATTCATCCTACCATCAAACCAACCTTCTAACCATCCAACCATAAATTCATCCTACCATCTAAACTTCAAACCATTTTACATTCTAGCATCCAACCATCCTACCATCATATCATGCAATCATCAAACCATCAAGCCATTCAAGAAAAAGTTTAATTTATATAACATTTTTTCAGCAACAAGTTAGTTCATTGTGCTGTGCGTGAATTAGAAGAAAAACAAAACGACAACACAAGCACAATAAAAGAAAAACTATACTTGTTTACAACATGTTCCAGTTGTTCTGGGTTGCTAAGTGCATAGTATTTTTGGAAGTTTGTTCTAGATTAGTAAAGTATAAAGCTTAATGTTGGTTCTTTATGTTTGATTCTTGTTCTGGGTTGCTAAGTACTCCGCAATTTATAAACTAACAGGAGTTTCTCTGTCTTGCTCCAATATTAAAATAAGTAATTGTTATTTCTTCAGCTCTTTCTACCCAACTTTCCCCTGCTTGCTCTGACTCGGTGCTGCTTTTTGGAGCCTCTCTCTGCACATCCTCCAAATCTACCAATTATGGATCTAGTGAACTGGTCTCTCAATGCAATTGATCAAATGTTCTTTGTCTGTCCACATTACCTGTGGAAGTCTTGGGGGACCTGTATTTATGTGGATTCATGATAACAGGATTTCTGCTGTTTGGAGTTGGCGGATACCTGGGATATCGACAAATTCAGAGGAAGTTGTCAGCTGTTTCAGCCCTTGTCAAGCTGCCTGATGAGCTCTTGTGAAGCTAGTGAACACCCAGATTAAGATGCTGTGGGACCAGAGCCACAAGCTGAATGTGACTCTTGCTGAGATTCGCAGGCCTTGGAGGTCAGCAGCGGGATAGAATGGATCTTGGAGAAGTTGCTAGTTCGGCCCCGTTTGAACGGCCAAGCTAATTTCCCTTTTCCACCGGCTCCGCTCGCTTTTGGAGCTTTTCCATCGGATATTTTTCGGGGCTGCCCCTGCTTTTAGGGTCCTGCTTCAGAGCAGGGCTAGCTGGGCCGGCCCTGGCTTGGTGGGTGACGCAGCTGACGCCGCTGCTGCTCTCCAGCCAGGTGAGCAGTTTGTAGATGTATCTGTCTGGTGTTTACTACATTTCAGGTTCCATACATACAGTCATGGAAGACATTTAAAACATAAAGTCTGCTGTAGTTTTATTGCTCAAACACAACATGTGCATTTTCTGAAGGCACTCGGTTGCACATTAGTTATAAATAACTCAATATTGTACAGCATGTTACCTTCATTTGTTCATATTTTATCTCTGTGTGAATCGATTGTTTCTCATTTTGCTGCTGTTGCACCAGAGTTTCCCCTGTTGTAAGATAATAAAACATGTTTTATGATATATTTTTGTAAAATGACTAGATATCAGTTCTCTAATTAAATGGTTATGGTTGTAGAGGACATAAAAATTAACAACAAACCAGAAGAAAACGAGTGGTATTTTATCCATGGCTGTATGTCTGCATAGGTCAGGTCCGCCCTCTACACGTTCTGGGTAACGGCTGTCGGGATCGCATAGTCCCCACTGACAACTTGGACTGTGATTATGTATCATTTTCCTCAAAATCTCTGACTCCAGCGTGTTTGCTATGATTCTATCAATACTGTCGGAGGTCAGTTCCTCTAGATACAGGGCGTGTACTTACAATGCTGATTGGTCAGTTGCTGACAAGTGTCCTAGAATGATTGGAGGAGGATTGCTCTACATCAGCATTGGGGCGGAGCCGGCATCATGTCAGTAGTGGGACAGAGCGCTCCCAAGGACTTGCTCTTAGATAATACCACCATATCAGAGACTAAAGCCTGGGAGAGCTGGCTGCACAGTGAATTCCCCGAGTTCACCGCCTTCACTGGCCTCATGTTTGCTGTTTATTACTAATAACTCCTGCTAGCTTTGCATATGTGCCTTATCCTCCCTGATGTGTCAGTTCTTCACCCCGTCTGTTCTGTTTATTGTATTGAAATTGTGGAGTACTCATTACTTTAAACCAACATTTAGCTTTGTATTTTTAATATCAGATCAAGACCTAGAAAACCTCCTTTTAGTTTTAGTGAACTGAAATCTATGCTGTACAGGTCAACTTGAAACTTTTCCTGTTTTCCCTGCAGAATCTAAGGCGTTGTTTAGGGTAACTACACCAGGTACGACTGAGTTGATGAATTTTCAGCAATTTCAGCTGAGTCTTTGAATCTTTTAATGTATTTGATGTTTGTCTGTTGCTCCAGCTCCTCCATCAGCCGTTTCTTCTCCAGAACATCTCAGCATCTTATGGCTCTTTAGTCTACTGGGTTTTTTTGCCACCCTGGTAACGTTTCTCTGCTGCTATTACTGCAGACGAGATGGTAGGTCCTCGCCTGGTAAACATCTGAATCTGTAGCAAATCTGTCATGTCTGCAGTGAATCCAGCAGTAAACTTTGTTCTAACATTGTAAAGATGAGCGAGGTGAGGAGAAGAGAGCAGACGCTGGTGTGAAGAACCAGGTGACTGTGAGTGTGTGGACCATGAGGTGGGAATCCTGAAGATGGACCAACGCTTGAAGAAGCACAGACTCCAACATCCTGATTATTGGTTTAGACCAATAATTGGTCTAAACCGTAATACGTGTAATAAAGAATACATGTTATATTCTAATTTGAAAATAATTAATAAAAACTATAAACATTTTGCTCTCCATATTTATAATGAATTATATAAAATCAGGGTGTATTCACACGGGCCCTGTTTAGTCCGCTTTAATCAGACTGTAATTTTTGTCTAGAAAGTCAGATTCGTTTGGGGAGTGTGAATGGAAATTTGAATTCCAAACCGGACCAAAGAAGTGAACTCTGATTCGCCTAAAAACCATTTACACAACGATTTCTGGTGAAAATGGAAGTTTTGTTGTGTTTGTAATGTACATTTACATGAAACCACCGAATGTTTTCTCTGACAACGGGTTCCAGAGCCCAATGTTTCTAAAACGTATCGGTGCCCGTTGTGAACAGAGGTTAATTTGCCCAGGTGGCAAAATACATGTGTGCTTCTTCAGCAATCATCTCTTATCTAAAGAACTACGGACACTGTGAAAGCTCAAAACGTGTTTCAGCAAAGTTATCCCACTTTTTTCCAACTGCGCCCTAATCAGACACACACAATGCGTGTTTTCCCCAGTATCTGGGGGAACGGTACCTGATGGGGAAACACGAATCGAATCGACGTGCCTTCAAGTAGATTTTTTTAAATACATGCCCACTTAGTTTCAAAGAACCTAGCACCAACTAGTGGTGTGGCGAGAGCATTACACCTTTTCGATGTGTACTATGCAAAGATTGTAATTAGAACGTCTTCATGTAAATATGTTAACAGAAACGAACAAAAATAAAATTTTCGTTGGATCTTTGTCGTGTTAAACAGGTATTAGTCCGGCTGAAGTGAACTCTGATACGGTTAGAAGGCAAGCAGGCCGCTCCAAGAGCAGGAAGCTAACTACAGCGCAGGGCATTCTGGGTAATATATTACTCTGTTCTCCGGTTTTGTCAGTTGCCATGGCAACGGGTAAACGTGCCGACAGAGTGAGGAAAAGCAGAATATAAATGATTTAAAGTTATCAGCTTATTTTCCCTTTGCTGTGGCGCTCTGCAGCTGCTGTCATTTTAAAACCTTTAATAAATGAAAAATTGAACTATTAATCTCGTTTGAATAACAATAATCAAATAGGATGACATATTTCACGGTTTGTTACTTTTGGACAAATTAAAATTAACAGTAGCAATTATGTAATTATTCACCAATATAAAACAGCAATTTGCTTAGTCCTCTCTTGCATCTTTATAGAAACCAAACTGTTTATAGATTTATATTAAGGCAGAGTACTTACAAACATCAGCAATGTCCTCAGCTTTAATCTAAGCTACGTTTATAGAAATCGGGTAAGAAATAAAGGCGCTGCCATCATTTTGTGACAGATTCCTGCTCATCCCGCATTGGAACAGCCTGGTTTGGTGGACAGACTCACCGCGCAGTAACGGAGCGTCGCTAGCGTTAGCGGCTAACAGCCGATGTCCAAACCAGTAATGTATATGAATGAAGAAATCCTGCAGCCGCTAAAATCTGACACTGCTCCGTTTATGCTTACTTTTTGTGAAGAAGGAAGTTGCGCTGCTCTTCTTCAGAGGTTTTGTGTCGATTCCTTCAGTGGTTCTTGGTGCAGCGCCCCCTCAGGCGACGGGGGGAACAGGTTTTCAGTTAGTTTGGATCGTTTCACTCAGTGCAGTTTGAAAACGAACCACAGCAGCTGAAACTGTAACAAATGTTGCAATTTTGGTCCCCAATCAAACCGAGTCTACCGGACTATCGATTAAAAAGTGTAATCAAATGAATCACACTCTAGCACTATGACTAATCATGATTAATCACTATACCTAACTTTGTAAGCTTAAAATATAAATACTCATAGTTGTGGTGAATTTAAGTATTCACCACATTATATTCACCTCTTCCAGGGGCCTGGGAAGGCCCTCCTCCTGCTGTACTCCAGCCAATTACAATGCCAGAAACTATCTTTTCCATTTGACCGCTTTGTGGCAGAAAGCAGGTCATGGAGTCTCTCTGTACTCAACAGCAACTAAGAGAAATTTACTCCACTACATACAAGTCATAGCAAACAGGGGACCACTGACAGGTAAGATACATTTTAATTTCTTGTTCTTGGCTGCCCCTCCTCTTTCTGATGCCGCCCTGGGTAACTTCCCATATAGTCCATAAGAAAACAGATACTGTAAAACATTTTTTTAAAAATGTTTTGTCTCAAACTAATTGTGTGAAGATTCCCAGCTTTCCAGGTTTTTATGTTCAGGAAGGACGAGGAGCCAGAGGTCAAGGGTCAGACATCCTGAATGAAGGCTGGGTTGGTTTCATTTTGGTCACCATGAAGTCCATCTGTTAGGTGGCTCACTAATAAATCCCTGCTGCAGTTTGGAGCGCGCTCAGTTGGGGATCATTGCAGCCGTTGACGTTCTTCCTGTGAGAACATCAGGATGTGCTTAAAGGGAAAACCTGATCAGTTCAGCGCTGGCCAGTAGAGGGCGCAGCTGTGAGAACCAAACCAGGCAGGTGGAAGAAGAGCCTGTCTGACCCGCAGGTTCTGAAGAGGATGATCAAGTGCTGCTCCATGATGAACTGCCACACACAGGTCAGAGGTCACAGCAGGTTGCTCTGCGCTGCCAGGTGGAACCTGTCGGGTTTCTTGGTTCCTGGTCAGCAGTGCAGAGCTGATGCTCACACTGAGGCATTTGAAGCTTAAAGCAGCAAAATGGTTTACATCTGAAAAAGGAGAAACTGTTTTTGTCCAACCAGCTGCTGTGGAAAACGTTTCCATTCTCTTACGTAGGAGAGTCCGACCAGAGGGGTCGACCGACCAGAGGGTCCGATCAGAGGGTCCGACCAGAGGGTCTCCGACCAGAGGGTCCGACCAGAGAGTCCGACCAGAGGGGTCGACCGACCAGAGGGTCCGATCAGAGGGTCCGACCAGAGGGTCTCCGACCAGAGGGTCCGACCAGAGAGTCCGACCAGAGGGGTCGACCGACCAGAGGGTCCGACCAGAGGGTCTCCGACCAGAGGGTCCGACCAGAGGGTCTCCGACCAGAGGGTCCGACCAGAGGGTCTCCGACCAGAGGGTCCGATCAGAGAGTCCGACCGACCAGAGGGTCCGATCAGAGAGTCCGACCGACCAGAGGGTCCGATCAGAGAGTCCGACCGACCAGAGGGTCCGATCAGAGGGTCCGACCAGAGGGTCCGACCAGAGGGTCCGATCAGAGAGTCCGACCGACCAAAGGGTCCGATCAGAGGGTCTCCGACCAGAGGGTCCGACCAGAGGGTCCGATCAGAGAGTCCGACCAGAGGGTCTCCGACCAGAGGGTCCGACCAGAGGGTCCGACCAGAGGGTCCGACCAGAGGGTCTCCGACCAGAGGGTCCGATCAGAGGGTCTCCGACCAGAGGGTCCGATCAGAGGGTCTCCGATCAGAGGGTCCGACCAGAGGGTCCGATCAGAGAGTCCGACCGACCAGAGGGTCCGACCCTCTGGTGTTAATCTACACATCAAATCCCGTCCTGTCAGATTAACAGAACATATCTGACAGGTTTCCTCCAAGCATTCATGTTTTCTGTCAGGAGTTACACGTGTAACAGAGACAGTTTTCCTGTCCCTCAGCGTCTGACCCCATCAGACACACAGTGAGTTTTGGTGAAACATTAAATCCCTGCTCTCACTACTGAAGGCATTTCCTCCAGAGAGGAAACCATTTTCCCAAAATAACTCAGCCAAAGGTGGGAAATGCTGTTTTTGGGTTTGTGTTGGGACTAACGCTCAGTTTTGGTGAAGGTAAAGGTTGGGCTGTAGAAATGAATGGAAGTCAATGGAAAGTTCCCATAGACATTGTGACAAACGTGTTTCTGCATGTGTGCGGTTTACACAGCTGTAGTCCAAATAAATAAAGATAAAATATGAAGTGAAGGAAAACGTCTGGTGAGGTGATTCTGAGCTGATGCTGCAGGAGTTTCGTGTGGCGGCGCTGCGAGCGGCTGACGTCGTTCCTGTTGGAAAGTCGATCCCACCCGGCTCCTGTTTAGGGTGCCGAGTGTAAGAGAATAAAAAAGTCAATATGTTCTGGCTCGTTATTTTCTCTTGTGCTCCTGGATTCAATGACGCCATGCGTGGAAACCAAAGCCACACAGTTAATCAGAGCTCCACGTCACGCATTTTCAGAATTTATTTCAACATTTAAAAATATAAGATCAGATCGACAACACGGACACTTCAAGCACACTAAAACATTCATTTACCTGAGAGAAGTAGAAAAGTAAGAAATAGAAAACAGGAAAAAGGCAAAAAACGATTTTTTTGGAGATTGCCATGCGGCTGCAAATGGCAAATCTGATTCGTTCCTCTGGGGCCCTTACTTTTACTCAACAGCGTGTTTCCTTTGTTTTAATTTATGCGATTAAGGCGTGTTGTTCTCCTTGTATGGATAGACCCAGTTCCAAATTACTTCCCATTTCTTCCATTGTTACAAACCTTGGAGTTCGAATGGACTCATCTCACATTTGAAAATCACATTAAGCACCTGTTGGGAACCTGTTTTTTTTTTTTTCATCTTTGCAATATTTCCAGAATTCGTTCATCGCCGAGACCTTCATCCTCGCCTTTGTCTCCTCCAGGCTCGACTCGCTCCTGATTGGAGTCCACAGAAAACACCTTCAGAGGCTTCAGTATGTTCAGGATCCTAGTGAGAGCTCGTAGATGGACCACATCACACCGACTCTTACTGGCTTCCTGTAACTTATAGGATTCAGTATAAAATTGCAGTCATCACTGTCTATATGGAACCTCACCGGATGATTTGAAGGACCTCCTTATTTCACATTCAGCTTCTAGATCCTTACGATCCCAAGCCTGTAATCTTCTCCATCTTCCTCGATCAACACTAAGGACCGGCCTACTCCGCTTTAAATGACTGTCTTCTTTCGATTGTTGATTTTGTTTTTAGCTGCACTGTGGAGCACTTTGAGATTTCTTTTTTAAAACTTTATTTTTGTTTTTGTTGATGTTTTTAGAGAACACTCAAGAAGAAAGGTCAAACAATACATAGAAATTATAAAAGACAAAAAATACAGAACAATCGAACCAAAAATCACACACCAGGGGGGACTCTTATTTTAGTAACGCAGAACACAAGGGGCCCATTCAC